GGATTATTAAGGATTTTTTCCCCATCATTTTAAAATGCAGCTTCATTATTAGTTTTACTCAATGTTCACATTATTTTATAACATTATTTTATGAAATGTCTGGTAGTGTTGTGTTATAGTGTTTGGCTCAAGACATTGTCTTGCCCAGATTTGAATATCAATTTCAAATRAAACTGAAACACCTTTTTGGAGTGTCACAGAATCATAAGATAATTTAGGTTGGAAAGAGTTTCTGGAGGCTGTCTGGGCCAACCGTCTGGTCTACACAGGAACAATTCCAACTTTTTCAAGTTCACAAGGTTTCTTGTAAACATTTCCAGATGAGTTTTGCACATCTCCAGCACTGAATACCATGCAACATTTCCAACAATGAACATCATTGGATGTTATAGCTTGGAGAATAATTGTGTCTCTTGCCTGTTTGCCTTTCCTTAGACTGGCATCCACTGTGGCCATCCACTTCTGGAGGCAATTGCAAAGATTGATGAGAAATACACATTTAAACAACCTCTCCACTGCTGAAATCAGCTGCCATTTTGAACACCTTTTCCATCTTTTCCACCAGTCCCTTCAGATAATATTCTGTTTCACTGCAAGCAATGACGACTTTGCATATCATTCATATGGGTCCCTCTTTATCAACTTCTCAGTCTGGAATACATCTAAGAAAAGSAAATTCTCTATTTTCTGCAGTATTTTTGCCTCCTTGAACTGAATTCACATCTCAGCTTACCTTGATTTAATTCAGTTTGCTTCAGTGCGCTTCTCCTTTCTACCAAAATGATGAAGCCAAATTAGACACTTTTGAGCCAAGTGCTTTTAGATACATATTCTTAAGAGAACATCTTTTTAGGTATCCTAATTATTCATTAAAACTGCTGGAGGGAAATAATATGATTTAATTTGACCCTTTTTTTTCTGCACAACTTATAGAATGTTTCCCCAATTAGAGTTCTGTAAACTTCAGGCAACAGAAAACGTTTAAAAACTCTCCTTCCAAAACTGCAGAAGCAGAAGTAGTCACCACAATTACAGAAATCGGGAGACGAAGCAGGATTAGCATATTACAACTTGCCTGATTTTTTTTTTCCTACATATGCCAAAACAAGATTAGAACAGCTGATTCAAGGGTGTCCGAAAGAGTAACTATTTCCCTGTCATTTTCTTATCATGTGATTCCTGCAAAACACATGTCCTAAAACAATAACAAACATTCTTTCATGGTTCTAAGCAGTGCTTGTTCTTTAATCAGATGATAGTTTTTTGATCTAGATGTCCTGAACCAAAATAGTTCATGTGTTTTCCTTTTTATGATTACAGAATGTTCTATAAGGAGCTACTGTGGGCATGGAAAGTAAGTAAATAMAAGAAATTAAGTGGATTGCMTAAATTRAGTAGATATTCAGAGTTAATAYTTAAACTAATTTGTCTCTAACTTCTGATGGGAGTGTGAAGAAAACTATTACAGCAAGAATTACTTCTATATGCATTTTTAATTGTGTAATTTAGTGTTGTTTTGTCTCATATTCAGAGCAGAAAATTATATACAAGTTGATGAATAAACATGTCCTTAAACACAACAATCACTTTTGCAACAAAACTAGATGCTTTAGGAATGGAAAAGCCAAATTTTAATTATGTGAAAATGAGACAGTCCACAGAAAGGCTTCCACAACTCCTAACTTCTCAAGTCAAGCAGTGTGATTTTGTTAGTTACCAAAAAAAAAAAAAAAAAAGGAGTAGTTTTCTCAAATCCATGGACAACATAAAACCAAATTTAATTTTTGTCTAACTGAACTCACCACAGAAGTACTCATCATTAATGTAACTACTAATGAGTAAAAAAAAGAAACGCATGTAAATAGAAAAAGATATAGAAACCTACATCCAAGATGGAAGGCTTTTTCCAGAGTGGGAACTGCCCGTGGCGTATTTGGTTTTGTAATGCTATTTGTAATAAGAACTTGTTCCTAATTTGATGTTAGGTTCCATTACGTTAGAAATAATACATATTATGCAACACACACAATTCACATACAACATAAAAATACATATGCAAAGGAGGATAGGTATAAAAAATAAAGAAAATTCAAATTAAAGAATTGCTATTTCACCCTGTTGAGCAGATTGTCTACATATTTTTCCTTTGGAGTAGTTCATGAAAGCACACATAATCTCAAACACTTCAATTTTCTTTCATACATCAGGCTTAATCATTTAAATATACCATGGAAGAAAATGAGTGTCATGTTACATTTCATAATTCTAAACAAGTCACAGAGCCAGGTATTTCCCACTGAAGAAAAGGGAGATTCCTAACAGGGGATTAATTTAATCAGATACATTTTGTCAAAGTTGTTTTTTGAACTGCACTATACAATTAAGCGAGAGAGAGAGAGAGATTAAGAGAGAGAATTAAGAGAGTGAGAAATCAGCACTTTCTGAGGGCCATTTGAAGATGGGTAATGAAGTCTGGTAGAATCATTCACCTTGTAGAAGTATCCACCTTTCTCCATTTTGATTGTAGAGAGTGATAGGGATATTTTTGGCAGGTTACTTGAGGAGAGATGAGCCTTCAAGAGATGTTAGAGCAGGTTTTACCTATGATTATGACATATTTGCTCTCATTTCTTATGAGTCTGTACTTCTAAGAGAGAAAGCTGGTGCAAAGCAAAATGAAAAGTTAAAAATTAACAAGGTTTTAAAAAAAAATTGTTTGTGGTATAAACAGAATACTGTACAGCCAGGGCAGTCAGGGTTTTACAGCTTCTTCCTAGAAAACCAGAATAGCCTCCTACCCTTGTGTAATGGTCCTTCAAAGTTCTCCCAATAAAACTTTGTAATGCCATTCACTGACACACAGTCTACGCATAATTTCATACAACATTAAGAAATGTTAAAACACCTTTTCCTTCCCACATTGAGAACGTGCATGAATCCTCCCCCAGTCCATGCTTGTTTAGAACACGTTTTTGTGGTGAAGATGGAGCTCAATAACATGAAGTGATTTATCTTGGGAGCTCAAGCTCAAGCGTAATTGCAATGAAAGCAATACGGCAGGAAAATACAGGATCTGGACCATCTGGGTGAAAATATGTGTCTTTAAAAATGTTTAGAGGAAAGAAAGTTGACATATATCTGGAAGTGAAAAGCTCTGAATCCGACTTAGAGTTTTGTCACTCACTGATTGACTTTATTCATGACACTGATGATTGCTTTTCAGAGTCACACAGTGCCCACCTCTTCTTTACAATCAAGAAACCAGGGAAATGGGCTAAAACTTGGTTTCCCCATCTGGGGATGATGTGCAACCAACAACTAYTTAATAACTGGAACAAAAACTAATGGATTCTTTAGTTATCTTTGCCTCACGAGAAATCATTTAAACATTTTTTTTTTCAATTAGGACTACAGTTCCAGTACCATTTCCCTTGCTCAGCTATGCTATTTCTGATCATGATATGAACATAATAATAATAAAAATAATWGCCCTCAAACCCAAAAATCAGGAGCATTACTCCCATYCAATATTCACTTAGCTGTATAAAAAGTCTTTTTCCTTGTTCAGTGTAAACAATTTTCATATTCTTGCTCAGATAAATATAAAGAGGAAGATGAATTCCTAGTGTTKGMAAACAAGGTTAAAGGCTTTCCAGTKCTGAAACAAAAGGCAGGCTTTTGTGTCTCGTTGAAAGGTAAAGAGGAACAGGTTTGTTGCTAAAACAATAAAAGTTTATTCTTCTCTCCGTTCTGGTTTTTATGGTTTGTTATTGCGCTGAAACTCATCCAGTATTTACCAGGTGATAAAAAGGACAAACAAAACTCTGCTTTACTGGAAAACTGTGAAGCTTTGTTGTCATAGCTGACATCAAATAAACCTGCAAAGTGGGATAATGTCAGAGTCCCTCTGAAGACAAGTAGTATCCAGAGTTTTTGCAACAAGTAAAAAATATTAGTTTGGTATTGTTCAAAATGCTAAGCTGGATTCTGATAGAATTTATGCTGAACTTCTGAGAAACTCACATAAAAGTCAGTAAAACTGCAGTACTCTTTATGTCTGTAAACAACAGGGACTGCCKAAAGGCACCTCAGAAGGTACTGAAACATGGGACCCCACCGAGGGCTGGAAGCAGAGTTCTCTGCTTTTCAAAGCAGCATCTTCATTTGCAAGCCAAGCAGTTATCATGTGGTAAAACACTTTGTGTCAGCAAATAATGTATCAGGAATGTCAGGTCACAGAGTTTACCTGTTCAGCACTGCACAGCTTTCACTTCACCCCTGAGTCAACTATGTCTGTTTATGATGTGTTAAAAATGATCAAATGTTGCCCAAGGGGGTTGATTTCTTTTGAAATATTACAGAATCATTCACTCAATTCAAAACAATCTGCAAAATATCCAGGAGCTGCTCACCTCACCATGTGTGACAGCAGAGCCATCACCATTAAATGAGTTCCCCAGCACACAAGGGAGACAAAGACAAGGAAAACCCAGACTTGTTTCTTCCCAGTCCTATTCTCTGACACCACCCAGAAGAGCTGATCTTCCCAGGAGTAAAAGTCATTTTGTGGGATTTTTAAATTTATCTAAATCCATCCCAGATGCATGCAGTAAATCAAGCTAGAGTAAAAGAAMAAAACAAATCCCGCCCTTAGCCACGGTGGATTTTAATTAGAAAGCCCTAAAACTTACTTTACATTTCTAAAACACTGTCTTAGCAGAAAATCTAAGGTAAGGAAAATTTCAGTAGACTCCTCTCAGAAGGCAGCATAACAGTCTAATGAAAATTCATGTGGCCTTCTTCAAGTTTTTGATACCAGTGAAAGCTGAGCAGAATTTCACAGCCCAAATAAAAAGCCACAAAATGAATATCTCGCCTGAGGGAGTTCCCTGCYTCAAATATCAAAGGCTCTCTGAAAACAATGAGTGTGAAGCTATACCCAGGTTTTACTGAAAATAAACTGTTACACACCACCACTTCCTCTTTCCTCTTCTGTTCCACAAAATCCAAAGTACAAGCTAAGCATATGTAGACTCACAGTGCTCCCAAAATGCAAAAGAGGAGGAGGCATCCCACAGAGCTGAGAATTCTTTAAAGGAGTCAGAAATGTGGAGAAAGATGTAAAAGAAGAAAAAGAAGCAAGGGGATCTCCTTGGATACTCTCTGTCCCCAGATTTGGCTTGGGACTTCTCCATTGCCACGAAGATTGGGGAGGAAGGAGAGCCAAGAAGGGCAGCAGCTCTGTGGGATCWTTGGAGTGCAGCGTTGGCTCCCAGCCCAGCCAGACCTGGAGCTGCAGCACCCTGAGCAGCCGAGGGAAGCAGTGCCTGCCCTCAGAGCACTCACCCTCCAAATTCCCAGCTGCAGCACCAGGATTTACAGAGGTAAGATGCTGCTCCTTGAGAAGACATCTCCCAGCTCCCAGCCGAGCTTATACCAGCATGCTGATTCTCTAATTTCTGAAAAAAAAATTCAGTCAGGAATGTAACTTCTAATAGATGTTCACAGGCAAGACATAAAATTTGATACAATGAATAGTAGACATGTTTATTAGTTTTCTGTTGGATGTCCCATATCATTCATATGAAGCTTAGGTAGAGAAAGGATACAAATTTGTGGCCACCACTATTCTGCAGAACTTGTTAACTTTTCTAGTCGCTTCTGCAAGGGATTTAATAATTTTTTAAGGAAAACTTATGCATGCTGTTTCTTTTTTTATATTCAAAGAGCACAAAATGATCAGATACACTTTTAATGCCTTTTAGTCAAAGAGAAATCTATGTGGTCTTAGTCCTGTCTAAAAGTAGAAAATACAAAGAATGCTTATGAATTTATTCTGCTAAAGAAATCTGGTTTAGTTCCTTAAGCAGGGCAGCCAGAAGAACAACTCATGATCAAACTTGTGAATACTCTTCTCCACACATACACAGAAGTCCCTTCAGTTTAATGTAATACTACAAATAAGAAAAAATCCTTCCATGCCCTACRGGAAAACTATGACAGCTGATTATGGGAATTACCCATTACTAAGCTACAGAAGAGTAAATACATCAAACGAATATCAGAGAACAAGAGACACACCAAACTCTGAGAAACAGACACCTGCCTGTAAGGGCTGTAAATCAGCTTGCCCAATTTCTTTGCCTATGTAGCAATACCCCTGTGTGAGAGGAATTGTAAGAGCTCATTTGTGCCCTGAGAAATTATGAAAGAGGRTTTACAGTTCCTTATGCAGCCAGTCACTTCTAATGAGCAATATGCAAGGCCCTGGATCTCCCTAACCTTTCCCTGATATTCTGGGGGATTTTACAGGGATTTTCTAACTCTCATTTATGCCCAGAAGATCATTCTTTCATCCATCTGCATGCATCAATCTGTACTCACAGATGTKGGACTCTGCAGTCTCCACTCAGCGACACTGTGGAGAGTTACACATTCTCCTCAATCTCTAGATGTGACAGCAGAATATTTTCTTAAATTATTGATTCTTGAATGCTCTAAAAAATGCAGCATAAATACCTCTGGATTTATTATTTGTGGATAATGAATATGAGAATCTCCAGATTTAACCAACCATGCTTAAGWGGCTAGAAAAGCCAATATTTGCATACTTCTGTTTTTCTTACTAAAATATTTCCCCTCTGATCTTCAGCAGTATGATCATCCTAGAGAAGAAAAGCAAGCAGTTGAGAAAATTTCTAAAGATAAACAACATTTTACAAATTGTAAGTACAAAAGCTTTTTAGTATTCACTAAAGAGAGAGGCAAAAAATATTCAGTGAAAAGGACTGAAACCTTAAGGAACATTCACAAAAAGGCAGAAATGGAGATCAATAGTGAAAAACACATCCCTTTAAGGATGTGAAATGAAAAATGAAAAAAAAAAAAAACAATAGATGGAGCTTTCTGGCTCAATGCAATCGAGTCCTACAGTTAAATCCACCTATCTTACCTTTCTTCATCTTACATTTCTCATTTATTTACCTCATTAACCATTGGGAGTCATTCAGTAAATTTCATGGTCTCTAACAAACAACCTCCAAAGCTGATTTGATTTAATTAGCAGACAAACTTTATCATTTAGCCATAACAGACTTCCTATTTGAGATAATATCCTCTCATTTTATCCCATTTCCAAAACAACCTACATGTTGGGTACACTGGTTTAATGCCTGATTTTTTAACACCTTGAAAGTTATGATGACTCCTTCCACTGAACTTAACACTCTTTTCATAGTATTAGAAGGTTCAAATGCAACCTGAGGAAGAAAGCACTGTTCTAGAAGGCTGACATTTGCTATTCTGCAGAGAAATTATTTGATTAATCCCTAGGGGAATGACTGAACTAATTGGAAATTGTAAACATGAAGGAGATAACTGAGAAGTGCTAATCCATGGTATAAACAAGTAAATTTGCCASAAGAAGCCTGGGAAATGCCACTCCATGACTGGCTGCTGAGGTGATTCAATCCTCTGTGGCAGATTTGCATTCCTCCCCATGCATGTGGCAGGTGCTAAGAAAGTTCTTGCTGCCARCRTAGGGGAGAGACTGAAAGCTRAACAGGCTTGCAAGTGATGAGGACAGCATTTTCCAGCAGCATAACTGRGCTGGTGTTTAGAGACAAAGCACAAAGGAAACACCTTTGTACAGGTATTCACCTTTCAGCACGCRTCTTCACTGTCCTCTTTTCTGTCCACTGTTCACAGCAGTTCCCAGTCACAATTTTTGATCTTTCTGCCTCTTTCCTACATCCTCTACATCTACAGGATATGTCCTTTGCCTGGATTCTAYCTTTCTTTCTCCTAATTTTAACCATAACTGTTTTTCTGGGACCACTCAAGGTCCCAGTAGCAATCCAGATGTCTTTTTATTAGGCATTCTCCAAACACACACAAAAAGTATTCTGTGTGTTAGGACAGTGACCAARCATGAGAAACTAAAAGCAGGAGGTGGAGGAGAGAAGTGAGGCTTCAACAGGGAAGAGGACTGGTCAGCTAAACCAGACAGTGAAAGGGAAGTACAGAGAAAATTGGGTKATGCCAAGCTGCTTCTTTCAGTTCCTGAGTCTTTTTTTCCCAGTCTCATCAAAATTCACACAAAAATATTTAAAGAAATGGTCTRCTGCCAGATGTCTCTGACGCACAGTAGCTCAAATTCCTGACTATTTAGATCGGAGGAAATTTCAGCATTCCTAATATTTGTTTTCATTTGAAATTATAACTCTTATAAAAATTTTATACACAGTTAATATTTGGAGCAGATATTATTTCTGATTTTTTTTTTCTGAGCCTTTGTCAACAGCTTCTCTTCTCCTACAAGAAAAGACAATTTTACAGATTCCTGGAGGAAAATATGGACTAAGAACARAACATTTCCTGAAAGCAATGTCATTTGGTCTTGATCCTGTGATTACTCCTCATGTGAATGGCAGCCCTGCAGTCGACATTCAGACACAATAAGACATTTCTGCAAAGGTGGATTTGAAGATGTGAGATCATATGATTCTGTATACTAATAAGGAAGGGTTTTCCAGGCAGCCTGAAGCACTTATGCACCTAAACCCAATAAAAATTCATTACCTGATTCCTACATCTCTTGGATCCATTTGAAATAGATTATATATGTATAAAAGCGTTACCCTTTAATTAGATAACTTAATTATACCTAATAGCAATTATTATATGCATTAAAGGCTGATGTGATACTTCTTTTCCTTTTTATATTCTCATATGAAAACCTCACCTATGCAGTAAATGTCTGTGTTCCTGTAAAATATGTGTTACAAAGGAGAAAAGCTGACTGTGTCATCATGGAAAATTAATTCAGATAACAGATTAAAATAATTTTAATATTCTTGTATTTTCATTCACTCATATTCTTGAGTATAAAGTGTGTGGGATTTAGCTGGACAGATKTTTCTTCTTTTTATCAGGCCAACGATTTTGTGTCAGTTCTTTGGCCATATCAGAATGAAATTCATCACGTTTCAGAAGCCTAGAAGTTGGATATCCAAGTTCAAGCTATTCCCATTCCCCTAGCAGTCAGTTAAGAGACACAAGCTTCCCTAGAGGGCAGTTTATCTGATCTGTTCTAGACACCTATCTCAGGAAGAGATGAATTGCTGTCTGGAGATGGTATTTCTCTCCATTGACTATTAAAAGAGTGTGTAGTAACTGTCTTAGTCACTTTGTAACTTAGTTACCGTGTTGGATGCCTAAACCAGGGCAGATGGATCTCTTGTTAGGTGACATTTTTACTTTTACTACATGCCAGGTTCAAAAGAGCATTACAGGCAAATCAATGTGTTTGTCTGCTGTCCCACTTTCTATATATGTACATGTGAACATCTGTTTTGGAACCTAACGAGAGTAGTTCTTCAGATTCTTTCCTCAAAGTTGTTTTTAGCAATTTTTCCATATATAGTAAATGCCAGATATCTGTTGAGATATTCTGTGCAAATGCATGCTTGCCAGTCCTTGTAAACCTGTTCTGTCATGAGCTCCCAGTCTTCACATTAAAGCAGCATAATGCCAAGGTGCATGTACATGCAAGCAAGGAATGTAATAAATTATAAAGTGCCAAATATTAAAAAAAAAAAAAAAAAAAAAAAAAAAAAAAGAATCTCCAAAACCTCGGGGGAAGAAAAGACAAATATATAATTTTTTTTTTTTTATATGAGAGAACACAGAGTGCTAGAGGCTGAAATCTTTCAAAAGCAAGTGCACTCCAGTAAAAATGTTCAGACGTGGTAAAATGAATAACATGAGATTTTGATAGTTAAGAGACTGGAGCAAAGCATCGTGAACAGTGTTTGTGGAGCAACTCATTAACTTTTTGTGCCTGCTTTGAAAGGTTATATAGATTGCAGTACTGGCCTTTCACATCTGGTGTTTAAGGTTTAAAACTCCCCTGTTCAGCTTTCATGACTCTAAAATCTTGATTACAACAGTTATGCTACAATAGAGAAGGGAATAAAAAAAAATGCCAGCTTCAAACTAGCTGTAGGGGGTTATAAGCAATAGGAAAAGTAACCTAGAGAGAGGTGGGGGAGGATTAAAGGGAAGAGACTGCAGTGTGAAATGCAGCCCGTGCCATGATTTTCAACATGTAACATTTAAAGATGTGCAACACTCATTTTCTATTGGTCTTTTCTCAGTTTTATTTAGTTCTACATGTCTGAACTAGGATTGAAAAGAGTAAATGGCTACTGACAGAACCAAAAAGCTTCGATATCTCTAGCACTGTCACCTGCTCTGCAGCCACACTCCTTCAGACCATGAAACACTGAAAGAAATTCACAAAGTTTGAGGAGGAACATAAAGTTTCTCAAGCTGGGGTCTTCAGATATCAGGAACAGCTTAGACTCCAAAAAAAGGACTGAATATTTACTTCCTGTTCTGAYAAATAAGGCTTTTATTAACATATTCCAAATGAAATTTGCATATTTTGCAATAACATCACTACATTGACTGAAATTCCTCGGAAATGTACTGTACTACTCAATCTTTTTCTGCAATACTGGTGCTTCCCACATCTCCCCCARTCTTTATTTGAAAAATTGATTTCTAATTTGATTGCTCAGCAATRCTAATATTAAAGCCCTTGAAATTTTAAAACCGGTATTTCTGCTTCTTCCAGTCTAAATTCATCTTGAATCTTTGCTTAGAAAAAGAAGGGAAGACTCATGTTCTKTACCAGATAGCAGATTTTTTGTCATTTGTTTCATAGCTGTAGCAAATGCCCACAATGGTGAGCTTTGTGGGAAAGAAATTGTATTACTACATTCCCTGACATTAAAGCTCTGGATAGGACTAGCATTAGGACATAGATAGGACTTTCATATAATTTCCAAACTATCAGTTTTTGAGGGATGTTTTGGATTCTGGGTTGGGCTCTGGACTGTCCATAACCACTCTCATGGCTGCAAAAGCCTCCAGTGTTACGAGTGCACTGACTGCTCCATGGGTTCAGGACATTGCTCTGAACTTTGGGACAGATCCCAGCAGAACCTGGCTGCAAACGCTCCCTCATCTGGCAGCAAAGGTCTGTGGTTTACCAGCSTGTCACACACCCTTCTTACAGCAGAGCATAGCCCTGGCGTGGTTATGTAATCATGTGACACAACCCATAGAGACAACAGGGCAACACGCTCTGTTACAGCTCCTCCACCACTATATCATCAGCTTTCTAATTTTAGCTCCAGACACACTAAAAAGGCAAACAAAATGGCTTTCTTTATAAGTGAAATATAAATGAAGTAGTGAAATATAAGTGTAGTKCTTTTTAAGTAAAGGAAAAATCACATGTGAAGTCACTGCATCRTCATTAAAGGGAAAGTCAGGGGGATTTTTAATTGTGACAATGTGAATTTTGGTACTACTTGAAGGAGGAGCTTAATGGAAAAGTTTACTCATGGTAAACCTTTTTTATCTACTTTCTTCACATTTCTATGAACAGTTTTTGGCATGGAAAGCTTCATTTGCACATGGCTGTTCTCACTGTATGCAATTTTTTTTTTTTTTTTTGCAACACAATTTATTTCTACAGACTGATCTCTGTGATCTTTCTGACACATTTGGAAGCAGCTGACAATGTAGTTTCTACTATCTATATGTCTGTATTCTCAAACATATTTAATTCATTTTAACAGAAGTCCCTGCAACTTTCCTGCTTTGTGCTTTTATTCTCTTAGACTTTATGGGTTAATTGGGTTCAAATGAGCTCAGTGTTTTGATTGAAGCTCTCCAAGAAAAGAACCAAGTCTTATAGAGAGAAATACTGATGAATCAGTAGGATGACTTCTAATAGCCAGAGAGCSAATGTCATGTTTTTATAGTGCAATATTCTTTCTTATAAGCTGATAAAGGTCCATGTACTGTCATTAAATATCTCATGATAGATTTTTGGAAATARCAATATTACTTCTAATATCCTTGCCAAACTGTGGTGTTGACAGTCGCATTGTAAAAAACTTACATTGATTTTGTAAATTCATAGGAATTATTTTTTTCAATTCCAAAATTAAATATTATGTATCTGTAATTTTCATTCTGACAAAATGGTTAATTTGAATCTTTTACAGGTTGATAAATTGCAGTTTTAGAATTCAGACAGGTAGACTGACTGGCTCCATGTCACARGGTACCACATTTTGCAAATTATCCCTTCTATTTGGCCCAACACTCTGGACTTGACCAAGCAATTAAATCACATTTAATTTCAAAGGGTTAGGCTAAACAAGMAATTTGGGTTGCATATGATAACCATTTTGTTCTTCCATGGCTGACATTTATGTCGTTGACATATTTTGCCAATGGTTATTTTATGTTTATTTCCAGTTCATTGATGAAAATATTGAATGCCACATAAAATATCTATTATGTGTATGCACACTAGGAGCATCCCTGGTAATAACTAATCCCGATGGATTAATGTTTTTTTCTATGTGTTAGTTATTCCTGAAACTCTTTAATATACACTGTATTAATATTGTAGGCCYAAATATCTTCACGAGGATGTCAGGGCAGCTAACTATGTTGTCAATTATAATAACGCTTGCAGCAGCAAACAATCAAAACATTCTTATTGACTTCAGAGGCTGTGTCACAGAAAGGTGAAAAAGAAAATAAAAAAAATTACAATTTCATCTACAAAAATAAACTTGAAATGATTTTCCTCCCTCCCTCCCCAAAATTGTGATATGAGAAGAGTTAAATATAAGATTCAATTGAGAAAAAGATGTGGGTTTTMAACTCCATCAGTCCCAAATTCTAAAGCTATTTGCAGCTCCATTGCTTCCCTTCAGGTTAACCAGAACCATGTCCTTCCATATAAAAAAAAATAACCCTTTCTTAAAGGTTATAGCCCTTAACTTAATCCCTTCATAATGCCCTTTTAACAAGAATTTTGAGGCATAGGATAACTGTTAGATAATAAGATTAGATGTGAATCCATTAGGATGTGTAATGTCTAGACCRAACCAGAGACACAGAAGAGGCTGTTCAAAAGGACCTGACTCTGTTTGCCACACAGGATATTTCATGACATTTTAGATATCCCAGATATCCCCTCTGGTTTCTAGTTGTCACTTCAAAATAATTTGTGTATTCTGGAGATGCTTTGTCACATTTACTAGCCCTGAGTTTTATAAATTGTGCATTAGCTCAGGAGTCATTAAATACCAATGTCTGGACAATTGAATTGAATTCCAATGCTATTACAAGAGGAAAGATATATTGGAATTATAATTAGAAAGTTAAGCTATAAAAATATTTATTCTCTCATCAGAACATGGATTTGAATCTAATACAGAGACATATATTTTTATATGTGTCTCTAGTCCAAAATGTCAYGAGAAATATATTTCTTTTATAGTTTACATAACCAAATTTCACTTGAGCATTTTATGTGCYCCATTTTGTGTCCAAACCCAAATGAGTATGACTGTCTATGGACTCTTCAATATTTCATGTGATCAAATTTGTAAGTCTTTATTTAGTTCTGGTTTTTAGTCAACACTGTATTCAGCAAGCAAAATCTAAAATAAAATAAAATAAATAAAATAAAATAAAATAAAATAAAATAAAATAAAATAAAATAAATAAAATAAAATAAAATAAAATAAAAGGAACTACAGCTGTTTTCCAATCAAACAGGTGATTGTGGCCTAAGGGGTGAAATCCCCAGGGAC